ATTACAAACAGCCAACCTAAAAAACTTAAAATCGAAAATAAAAATAAAGAAACAAACCAAGAGATACCCTCACTTACAACTTCTAACTTCAATAACTCGTCCACCGATACCAACAGCAAAACAAATCCTCCTCAAACCGAACCATCCCGTCAACCACGCAAAAGGCAATTACGCTCGTCTAAAAAAAATCTGAAATTGCATCCACAAAATTAGACTTGTCCCAAATATTAAATTAATCCCAATAATAAATTAGTCTAAAATATCCACCTTTCTATAGCTACCAACAAAATACAATCTTCAAGTCCATGTAAACCAAATAAAGGGGCGCAGCCCCCCAAACATATTATTCTAGTTCTCGTAAAAAAATGATACACTAAAATCACATAACTTTCATATAAAAGTATACCCACTGAGAACATATACCTCCCTCGGATCTCACAACAAAAGTCTTCAAAATTTAATGGAAAAGGATATTTCCGCAACTCAGATGGAGACATCATTAATGTGATTTTCGAAGGGCTATATTGATCTATTTTACCCCATGCCACGCCACTACGATATTCCAAGGAAATTGATGATATAGATGTAACTAAATAACAATACTCTCTCGGTAACTTATTATCTTATAATTTTGAATATAGATTATAATCAATGGTTACTGATTATGTTTACTATTATAGCACAAATTTACAAACTACACGTCATTAACTCCACCAAAAAATTTCTCTCAACAAGTTGTGCGCTTTCGGAACCATCATAACTAACCCTCATGTTAAACAACAAAACAACCGTTTTCGAAGTTTCCGTAACGCAATACGTTAATAGCACCGGATCCCAATTTAAACGAGCAATCATCGTATGTCATCAATCATGTTGTCAATACTTACAGGCAAGAACATCAAAAGCATGAGTGGGGGAGAAAGTAATGATATGCGGGAATTAGACATCATGGATGATAAACTTTACATGGAATTACATGTACTTGAATACGAATTACTAACAAATGCTGAATCCATAACAAAAGTTCCCCCGTTACAATTTTGTCGTAGTAAAACCAGTCATAATACGAATTCTCCTTCTTACTGACTTTCTAAATTTCAGTTAACACAAAACAAATCGTCAATGACTTTTATCTTTTTTTTTTTGAGGAATCTTACTGCAAGAATAGGTTTACCCAATAACAGGAACCAGTCTTTTCATAAACCAGAAATTTAGAATCTTCGACATTAACTTTATACTCGATTATCATTTCTTCCCTAACCAATCTGTATCCAAATTGTTTATAAAAACAAAAAAAATTAACACTTTTTTCTGAATATAACAAATAAAAAATTAAATACATATTGTAAATTGATAATCATAACATATCATATAATTTCATCATTAAAAAAAATACATCCTAACACTCTTACACACTATATAACAAATCTAAATTAATACAGTGGTTTTTAAAATACCAACTTTTTTTTCGTACTACTGTCAGCGGTTTTTATACATAACAACAGAACCCTACGATCAAATCACCAAATTGGTATTTTGAAATTTAAATTATTTATTATTATACAACGAACCATAAATACCAACTTATTACCCGATCCAAAATACTCGGGCGAATTTTTGACCGATCAAATAATTCGCACACAACCATTACAAACTGACAACAAAAATCACCCATACGAACATACACTTATTCGCTTACTCACAACATACCAAAACTTCAAAACACCTGCAACGAATACCCCTACCACCTCAAGTACTGCCACGTCAGAAACTGAATCGAACAGTTCCACGCAAATTGAAAAAGATAATCT